GCGGCGGCGGATTTGCAAATGAGTGTTTTGCAAATTAAAAGTGTCCAGTGTTGAATTACTTTTTAAGTCAACATTTGTTAATTCATCAACGTCAATTTGTCGTTCTATATTTGTCTATCATCGTCCGTCCGCTTCCTCTCAATACATCTGATATGTTTTTCTGCGCTATTTTCGTCCCAACCCTTAATGCTAAACAAGTCGGAGTAAAATTTAAACCGCTCTTATAGTATTGAATCAATGTCAGTTTTATATTTGCCGTCCGAGCATGTTATACGATTTCATAATTTGTTTTTGGCTTTCTGTTTTTCTAAATTAAAGAAATATTGTTATCTTAAATGATAGCAAAAACTTCCATAGTGAGTCGATTCTGATTAATATGATAATTAATTTAAATATCTTAATTCTTATAAAATAAGGAGATGTGATATGATTGATATGAGACAACTATCCACCAAAGATTAAATGAAGTGGATGTAAGCAATTATAGGCAATCGTACGGCCTTCAAAAATGAGAAAAACCCATACCGTATAGTTGGCTATAAAAGGCCCCGGCATGAAAAATATGAAACAATTTAATTGAGAAAACTAACGGCCTAATTAATAACAAAACAATTTACGAAAAACAAATGTGACAGACATGAACCAACGACAACCACTGAACTACAGGCTTCTGACTTGGGACAGGCACATAAAGAATGTGATGGGGTTAAACATGTTTGTGAGCGCTCAACCCTCTCCCTAACCTGGGACAGTGGTGTAACAGAACAACATAAGAACAAACTATAAAAATCAGTTGAAAAAGGCTTAATTCATCAGATCAATACAAAGCAGAAGAACATCTAACAAAAAAGACACTTAAGTACAGATCTGAGACTACTCTGAGAGTTACTGACAGCTAGTTCAAAGCCAATAACAACTTATAAAAAAAATCATGTATCTAAGACTTAAATATCAATCAGTACACACATCCAACTTCCTATGGATTTAGTGTAAAGACGTCATTAACAATCAGAGAAAAACATGACCTAGTGCAATTGCCAAAATATAAGTATCTGCCTATTCTTGCTTGTAATAGTTGCTCGTTTACTAAAACATTTTTTTAATAATTGACTTTGAATGGCAATATGTGGCGATTGTCAATTGACTTATTTCTAGATCTTACTTTGTTGACCATTGTTGCTTATTACAATTTACTCTATCTAATATTGCTTTCGTTAAAACACTTAAATCGGAGAAAATTGTCACTGAAAGGCAATAACTCGACAAAGCAGTTGACAAACTGATTTTAATCATGTTGAGATGTCTGAAGATCTCATATAGCTGATTGACTTTGATGTTTAAAGTTTGAATTCTCTCGGTGTTTTGTAGTTTTTCAACATCTTGTGCTTGGTGATTGTTTTAGCTGTGTACAGTTTCTCTTTATCGATCATACGTTTTAGCAAAACACAAAGGATACAATCATCATTACAAGAAGGGGGGAGTTGACTGAATATTCATGCCAGATTTGACTTTCTTGTAGATCTTGTCTGGCTAATTATTTTTGTTGTATAGAGTTTTTCCCGATTTATTGCAGTTTCAAGATCTTAATTATACTAAATTACTTTCTATCCGAGGCCCAAAGGATGCTGTATGATTCACCTGGTATTTTTGCGTAAAATTGATACAATAAAATTAAAATAACATTTCAAGCAGAAACGCAAAATCAAAATTTTATTAAACAGTGTCCTTTACTCTATATTATAGTGTGTTTATGTCCCTTCAGATGTTTTTTTTTATCTACATATCATAAGAATAATAAGTTTTGGTTCCAATTTGCCCAGTAATTTCAAAGAACCAGACTTTTGCACAAGCTAACAGACGAAGATGGCGGATAGCAAGAAATGAGAAAATCTGTATTTGCCCTGTAGGCCAGGCCAAACTGCGTAAAAGTCGTCGTTTAAAGTCATTTTAAGTATTTTTGTGATTTTCTATTTAAATAGTTTCAAGTATAAAAACTGTAAAATTTGCTTAAAGTTGACATCTAATTTCTGTTCTGAAAATTTTAAGATAGATCAACACCTACCGACGATAATATACCGATAAATTAAGCCAAGAACTATCGTTTTAATTTCAGTCTTCCATTTTTACTTGTACCAGCCATAAGTATTATCAGGTGGCAACAGAATATGGGCTTTGCATTATTACTGTTAAGTTTAACAACATTTGATTATGCAGTTTCGAAGGGAAATATTTTAGACGGACAATGTGCAAAATTATGACAATGACGAACTCCCAGTGTTTGTATAACCTCACTAAGCTCTTAAGAGCCAGGTGAGTTTAAAGGAAAGATCTTTGAATCATGAACAGAAAAAAAATGTTTTATATTTTATCTTCAGCATTACAAAAATTGATGGTTGCTAGGCATTTTCCACGATATGAAAATGGCTATTAGAGACTACTGTGACGATATTGACCATTTACCCCCTTGTTGTAAACCTGTATATATGCCCGGGAAAAGCTTTAATTAGTACTTATTTTGAATAATTCAAAGTTTCATGAATAATAAATACAAACAAAAATATCTGTGATGTTTTAGTCAGAACAGGAGACAACGTGGTTGATGACTAACTGAAAAGCACATGAATAAAATCATGTCAGTAACTTATTTCTGTTCATTAAAGGAATTCGACATTCTAATTGAAAGGAAGAATTTCGTTTTAGTTTCAAAATTTCGGAATTTTGTCACAAGGGATCAAAATGATTGCTAGGCATTTTCCAACTATATGAGGATAGCTACTTAGGTCTTTAGAAACGATATTGATCTCTCACCTTTCAATAAAATCTATATAACAGTTCATATTAGCCTGAACCCAAATATGTATGATGCTGGCATGTCAGTAACTGCTAGTAGTCCTTTGTTAATTTATGTATCATTGTCATTTTGCTTAGTTTCTTCTGTTACCTTTTCTGACATCGGACTCGGACTTCTTTTAAACTGAGTTTTACTGTGCGTATTGCTGTGTGTTTGTTTATTCTACATTGGCTAGAGGTATAGGGGGAGGGTTGAGATCTCACAAAACATGTTTAACCCCGTCGCATTTTTGCGCCTATCCCAAGTCAGGAGCCTCTGGCCATTGTTAGTCTTGTATGTTTTTTTAATTTTAGTTCATTATATGTTTCGGAGTTTAGTGTGACGTCCATTTTCACTGAACTAGTACACATTTTGTTAAGGAGTCAGATGAAGCCCGCCTCCTGGTGCGGGATTTTCACGCTCTGTGCTGAAGACCCATTGGTGGCCTTGGGCTGTTTTCTGCTCTTTTGTCAGGTTATTGTCTCTTTTGACATATTCCCCATTTCCGTTCTCAATTCTATGGTGGCTAGGTACTTTTCTATCAAGTAAGTGTCTATGCTAAGAACTTTTAACATGACCTTGACCTCTTGTATTTTACCCTTGTTACCAAATAAAAGCAATAATCGTTCTGAACATTTTTCTATTCAAGGTATGGGCATATTTGTAACCATTTCTGACAAAATCTAATAAAAAAGACTTAAGGTCAAAGGTCAAGGTCATCAATAACCTTTTACCTTTATATCAAACTTAAGGTCATTGAATGCGCAATATTTTTTCAATTGATTTTCATCCTTTATCTGTCATAGTTTATGAGATATTTTAATAACAAGGTCAAAATCATTTTACAAAATAACAAAAATTTCACCTTTAGGTTCAATTAGCAAACACCCTAGAAACCTGAATCCCAAACCTTTAGTTATAAACTATTACTAGGCAACAGTGTTAGTTTATATTAATAGCTTCAATGTAAATGGGTGTGGATGCAAAAGTGTGTAATTAGTTCACGCAAAATGCTTATAATTTGCCTTCTTGAATACTAGTACAATGAAAACTCCCTTATTTTAATCAGTGTTGCCACCTTCTCCCCTTTTCATCAGAATTATTTTTTATCTTTTATCTAATTAATTAATTATTATATCTTAATGAACAAATATTACAATATTCATCAAAAATAAGTGTGTGCATAATAGCTGCCTGAAAATGCTAATTTTTCTACCTCAAAAAATGCAATTTTGAGCCAAAATCCAAAGGGACCCGTAACCGTGGCAACGACGACCTAAACATTTTTTTTGTCAATCTATTTCTTTTATGTTTGTCGATAGCTACCAACAAACAAAATTTTAAAAAAGTCTTGAGACTATGTGTGCCGCTTCTTGGTTGGTGGTTACAGAGAATTGCTATTAATGACGTGCTCCCCGTGCCAACGTCACAACAATGCATAAGAAAACAAAGGAACCATTTGAGATAACTCGTTGAATATCATGGTTGTAACATAACAATGTAATAATAATTAAAGAATGCTTCTTTTTGTAATTTTATAGGGTTGTAAATGCGTTGATCGTGTGCACATTTTCAGTATAAAGCGCTGCACTTCATATAAAATGTACTTCGTTCAACGCTTTATCTTTACACCCCAATGAAATTACAAATTTGTTAAAATATATTCTTACTGATGACAAAATTGAGGTTAATTTTGATATTGACGATTTTCACTTCTGTCGTTCAGGAGTTCTTGGTCCTTCATATATCATCATATATTGAAAATGACAGTTTCTGTTGTTTCCGTGCAATTACGAATGATCCGTAAAAAATTGCCGGACGGTTACCTATTTGCTTACATTCACTTCATTTGAACTTTGGTTGATAGTTGTCTCATTGGCAATCATACCACATCTACTTATTTTTATATTATCCATATTTTACTCCCTACTATTGGCAAAAACCGGGGTATTTACCGACCCACGGTTCAGCAATTATAATGTTCTTAAAAAAAAATTAGAAATAAAAACAAATCCAAACAAATCGACTGGTATTTTTTTATAACCAGTTAATTGGGTCTTTTGCCACAAATGAAAACCATTAAAAGTGAACATACATTGACTGGTAACGGTGATTATACGTTTTAAATTGTCCCTGTTGACCACTCAGCATGTAACCATTGACCAGTGAAATATCGCTAAATAGTACATGGCAATTTTCCATGTGGCCAATGCATCAGTAATATTGTTATAGGAGCATAATGCCGTTTATATATTGAATGTCGGTGTGGTTATATTTGTGTACTGTTTTTTTGGTAGATATCTAATTTCCTTTTAATAGTCGCTTTCATATTTGAAGTCTCTTAGTACATAACACAGCCTGAAAATATATAAATGTTCGTTATAATTGCCAGTCGTAGGGCAGCATGCCTTTAACGTGACTGAGGCCATTTTCACAATAAAAAATAATGAATCTCGATTTTCCTTTAACATGCATATTACTTAAGCCTCTCAACATAAAACTAAATGTTTATTGTCTATTGACCCTGAATCTTTTACTTCTGATGGCCCGCTCGGCGGAAATGTTCATCACAAAATCTACTATTTCAAACATTGTCATGACACTCGCTCCTATAAATAATCCCATTGATCCACCAATATCACCTGTAATATATATCTATACGGTTATGCACATTGTCTTCAATTATTTAATCAGCAATCAGGTATTGACTGGTGTTTTGTATCCGACTCACTATACAAGAGGGGGTGGACAGCTTTTCAGGGAGGTGGGAGAAGGGGGCGGGAGATGGGAGGAAAGGGGCGGGAAGTGGGAGACAAAAAATAGGTGGGAGAGAAAAAAAGATTCTAAAAGTGGGAGGTGGGAGATAAGGGGGCAGGAGGTGGGAGAAGGGTACCCCCTGTCCACCTCCTCATACAAATCCTTCTTTGTAGGTGTCGTTTTCATATATCAATTATATTAATAAAACACAAGAGATTTGTGTTAAATCATCGGGTATTAGTAAGTCATTTTCAATCTGTATCAATAAATTTCCATGGAAACAGGCATGCTTCGTATTTGGCTTTTTTAACTTACACAGTAACTTTTGCTATAGTTTGTTTTATTTTATCTCTCACAAGATGTTTTACAAGGTAATGCAAATTAGATCACAGATATGTTGAAGTTGTATATAATTCCACTCTCTTTTCCTCGATTGTGACATCACCAAATGCGTACTATTACCGATTGTTTTACTTGTCACGTGAACCACGACGGGTATCGCTAGTAGAGCAGGAACTGTTTCATCTACTAGAGCACCTGAGTTCACCACTGCTTTTTGGAAGGGTTTGTCTCAATTTTTTATTGCTTGTAATTTGTTTGACGTTACTTTTTATTTTGCTTTTGTCGTTTTCCTTATTCGTGATGTTTGTTGTGTGTGTGTGGGGGGGGGGGGGGGGGGGGAGGGGGACTGATAAATTTGCCCCTTTATCACATACTTTGGGATAAGAGTTAGAGTTAGGGGCTACCGTTACATATGTAACCTGTTTGATAACATTATGTTCATAATTTTCTAGGATATTTGTTACATGTTCGTTTTCCATTTTGTTTTATAAAAAAAGTATGATCTAGTCATTGTGATTATTTGTATTGTCTTCCTTGGATTTGACGTTTTGATTTTCTTTGGTTTGCAGTCAATTTGATTTACTCATTCAATTTTATACATACATAACAAGCCAAATATGTCATAAGCTTCCTGTTGATCTATTTTATACATACATAACCAGGCAGATATACACGGGGGGGGGGGGGGGTCTCAACATGGGATTTTGGGTACAGCTGTGCACTTGGGATTTAAAAAACACCCCCATTTATATATTGAATAATTGTGAAATCCCTACCTATACATATATTTCACAGCGAAATCATAACCCATTCATATATTTATCAGCTCAAATAGAACCTATATGCATATACAATCTACTATATTTACTATACTCTAGTGGGTAAAGATTATTAATTGTGACAGTTAAATAAAATTTGATCAATAACAAAACTTGTGTTGAAATTTTAATGACAAAGAGTTTGGGAAATTCAGTGAAGATCGTTGCACAACAAACTGAAAAATTATGACCCATTGATATATCACAATTGGTCAATTACTACCTATTGATATATTTCCTCGGTAAAATTGCACCCCATTGATATATTTGACGTATCAAAAAAGGGACCCATTCCAGGGCACATTTGTATAACCTTCATATAGGAAGAGACCCCCCGTGCAGATATATCATAAGCTTCCTGTTGATCAATTTTATACATACATAACAAGCCAAATATGTCATAAGCTTCCTGTTGATCTATTTCTTCATAGCTAAGTTCCCTATAGAATACGTCCAGTTGCAGGAAGTTTTCTCTGTAAAGTATAGTTACGATTATTTTCTCTGTAAAGTACAGTTACGATTATTTTCTCTGTAAAGTACAGTTACGATTATTTTCTCTGTAAAGTACAGTTACGATTATTTCTATGTTCATAATTTAATTTGTGGATAAAGCAAAAAATAAAGACACTTAAGTTATTAATAATACTACAACTGGAATGTTTGTACAAATCTTCTTAAAAATTCATGAGAAGTTTGACAATAAACCATTACCATCTGTCGTATGATAACTTCTCTATAGTTATCAAAATATATTAAACTATTAAAGATGAAGTAACGACTGCTTACAGAGCATCAAAATTGTGTGTATGAAATGGGAGACCCGAGACGCGTCAAATTAGGATGCAATAAATTTTAAAGCTACTTTAGTTGTTGTGAGTTTATAATTTGGCGGAAATATTTTAACTTGTTTTGTTTTCTAACTTGGTCATGATTTGATAGAAAAGGTACTTAACGTAAAGTAAGGATAGTATTATAGCCATATATTATGAAAAATCTTTTTCATTTTCGAGAATTTTTCAAAATTCCTAAATTCAACATTAACAGTATCCTTAATTTAGCAATGGCGAGTATTGGGAACAAACACTACATATGAGCATATTGAGCCTGTTGTTCAGTGGTTGTCGTTTGTTGATGTGGTGCATAAGTGTTTCTCGTTTCACGTTTTTTATGTAGATTAGATCGTTGGTTTTCCTGTTTGAATTGTTTTACACTAGTCATTTTGGGGCCCTTTATAGCTTGCTGTTCGGTGTGAGCCAAGGCTCCGTGTTGAAGGCCATAATTTGACCTATAATTGTTAACTTTTTACACATTGTGACTTGGATGGAGAGTTGTCTCATTGGCACTCATACCACATCTTCTTATTTCTACATAATCGTTTTATCTAATGATGCATACAGTCACATGTTTAGATTACCTTAGAAAATACTGATCAATTTTGATGCTGGATTTAAACAAAAGCATGTGATTTCTCAAGGCTTCAAAATGGTGTCCCAATTTTTTATCAGTTTCTCCGATTATAGCACGCAAATCATTTTTAGTTCTTGTGTCCGATATCTCTTCGTAAATCTCATTACTGAACTCCGTCAGATTCACCAGGAACGAACTGTATTTTCTGTGATTGTAATAAGGAATCATGTCTATATCATCAACAATATCTGTCCACATGTCCGTAGAACGTGTCACAAGACCAGTCCAACCATCGTAAATATTCTGACCCCTATTTCGGATTTCCTGGAATATCGTCTCACATCGTGAAAACTGGCTTAACAGATAATCCGATAAAACGATATCGGCCAAAGTGTTTTTCTTGATACGTGAATCAACTTTCAAATACTGGGTTAACTCATTCATAAAAATGTTAATGTGAATTACCTCGAACATCGATACGTTTTGGATAGAGTCTCTCAGATTGTTCAGATTGCTTTCTATAAACTCCTTTGTTTCAATGTAATCCGTTATGAATGCCTTAAATTTTTCAAACCGGTTTTCTAGAATAGTTTTTGGTCTTTCAATACATTCGGCATAAAATACACTCTTACTATGGTAGAAATCCTCACATTTATCTATATAGGATGAAGATATGGATGCCATCCTTGTAAAATTCAGATGTCCAGTGATGTTAACCTCGTCTAACAGTGAAATATAGCTGTTTAGTTTACTTTTAATGGCTACAATATCATTTTGTACCCGAGGAGCATATCTCCGAGCATAGCTATTATGGATCAATGACTCGGCAAGAAGTCTTTTCGGAGTTATGTAATTGTTATACTTTCGAGCTGTTTTTCCAAATCTATATTTGAATATTGGTGTTCCGTTTTGATAAGCCTCGTACAATTGTGAAATATTTGCGGATGCGCGTTCAGCTGTTTCTATCTGACTACGAATAAAATCTAGGCTTCTGGTATATATTGCCGCTCTTGTACTTTTATCAAGACTCTCGTCAGAAGAAAGGTGTTTAAGATTTGTTTCAAGCAGAAATACAAATTCATGAAAACCAACACACAAATTAGAGAGAGTCCTTTCTTCCATCGCGTCACGTGGTCGTATAAAGTTTTTCGTCACATGATATATCTGATATCTGTAAAGATAAGATTTTCTGTTCCATGCATTTTTGTCGTTTGAATACCTTGAATCCATTAGCTGTAAGTGAACTGAAATTCGTTTTAGGATATTCTGCAACATTTCAATCACATTGTCAAAAGATTTTTCAAAATTCTTTACCAAACTACTAAATAATTCATATTTTCTTTTCTCCATACGGTTTGAAATCTCGCGTGAATTGAGAATTTTCTCGTGTAATTTTGACGTGGAAACGGAAGTAAGTTTCTTTTCTGCTGTGTATTCTGATGTTGATGCATATGACATGATAGGATCAAACACACTGTACTTACAAGCTGTAGGGCAGTGACACTGATCTTGTAGAGTGTCGTGCACAGTTCCTGAAATTAAATTATTTCCCATTAACAATTTCACCTAAAGAAACTGGCGCCTGTGTGTTGAACTTGGTCTTAAAGATAAAATAAGAGAAAAACATGCTTAAATATTTCGGAAACACATTTAATCAAAATTTCACATTAACTTATTTTTTTATGTGAAATTGACATGGAATTAATGAATAAAGGATTTTAATATGTCCTTTAAAAAACTCTACTTCTGAATTGGCACTTAGCAAGCATAGATGCCAAAGAAAAACAAACACATTTAGAAAGAAAACTATGGCTAAAGGCAGCGATAGCTAAAACACACAACTATGGCTAAAGGCAGCGATAGCTAAAACACACAACATGGCTAAAGGCAGCGATAGCTAAAACACACAACCTGGCCAAAGGCAGCGATAGCTAAAACACACAACATGGCTAAAGGCAGCGATAGCTAAAACACACAACCTGGCTAAAGGCAGAGATAGCTAAAACACACAACCTGGCTAAAGGCAGCGATAGATAAAACACACAACCTGGCTAAAGGCAGCGATAGATAAAACACACAACCTGTCTAAAGGCAGCGATAGCTAACACACACAACCTGGCTAAAGGCAGCGATAGCTAAAACACACAACTATGGCTAAAGGCAGCGATAGCTAAAACACACAACATGGCTAAAGGCAGCGATAGCTAACACACACAACCTGGCTAAAGGCAGCGATAGCTAAAACACACAACATGGCTAAAGGCAGCGATAGCTAACACACACAACCTGGCTAGGCAGCGATAGCTAAAACACACAACATAGCTAAAGGCAGCGATATCTAATACACACAACCTGGCTAAAGGCAGCGATAGCTTACACACACAACCTGGCTAAAGGCAGCGATAGCTAAAACACACAACAAACTTTGTCAGAGGGATATCATTGACCCTAAAAAATAACTCCCAGTAGTTTGAATCAAAATCTTCATATAACCACCAAACGACAAAACACTAGAGTAAACCCAGACATGATACATTGGAGATCAGTCACTAAGAATCAGTCGGTTGTTGGTGGTTGGTGTGTTTTTTATGTACTGTAAATTTTTTTTTTTTTTGGTAATTCCTGTTTTGATGCATGATTATTCAAACAATTAACCAATCTAAATAAAGTTAGCTTAATTTTTATTGTCCCAAAACAAACTTGAATTTTGAGCAAACCGTGCGTTTAATTTTTTGGCCTTTAGTACTCAGTAAAGACCCTTTGTTTAAAGTTGCCATTAGACTCCGATGTCTTATCAATAATGTGACAAGGTATAGGGGGAGGGTTGAGATCTCAAAAAACATGTTTAACCCCGCCGCATTTTTGCGCCTGTCCCAAGTCAGGAGCCTCTGGCCTTTGTTAGTCTTGTATCATTTTTAATTTTAGTTGTTCTTGTGTATAATTTGGAGTTTAGTATGACGTCCATTATCACTGAACTAGTATACATATTTGTTTAGGGGCCAGCTGATGGACGCCTCCGGGTGCGGGAGTTTCTCGCTGCATTGAAGACCCATTGGTGGCCTTCGGCTGTTGTCTGCTCTATGGTCGGGTTGTTGTCTCTTTGACACATTCCCCATTTTCATTCTCAATTTTATTGAAGAAAAGCAAGATAGATTTTTGAGAATCAAACCACGAAGTTATGACATCCATAATATATTCGATGCATATAATACTGTTGTTTTTTGTGTTAAATTTAAAATATTTTACCGTAATAACTTTTGTAACATGAATAGAACGCTTCCATCGTACATTCCTCTCCACTTTCTGTAATATATATATATACTATACATTTCATGATGAAAATAAAATATAAAATAGTGTATTTGCGATTGAGTTCATAAACGTTTTTGTATAATAGCTCAGTTTGCATTCATTTTAAAAACATCAGTTTAAAATGTACGCCGTGAATGATCGAGTGATCATAATTATTTTGATTCAGCAAACTAAACGACACATTTGTAGGGCTATAAACATGATAAGTATCAGTGTTTGAGACTTAAGGAATTCTGAGTGCTGTTATATTTAATTGTTCACAGTACCTACACATTGTTATATTTGCTACATGTACGGCTAATCTGTAGTTTTAAACTTGCTATTTGTATGGCTAATCTGTAGTTTTTTTTATACTTGCTGCGTGTATCTCTGTTAAATCTATTCCCAACTTTTCTCGATTCTCTGCGATTAAGAATTTGATGCATAGTACATACACTTGTCTTTTGTTGACGAACGTAAGTTGACATCTAGATGTGTTTATTTTTAGGGTTTTTTTTGTTGCTATAATTGTATTTATATCTTCAACAAATGAAGATTAAATAAGAAAAAAAGATAAGCTCAATTTGTCCATCAAATTAAAACTTTACAATTGTTATAAAACAAGACATTCCCTAAAAAAACCAAGACTTTTGTATGTATATACATATATAAGGTCAATTATTATTATTATTATTATTGCTTGTTTAGTTTTAATTACCCATAGTAGAAGGGATGAAATAATTTCGGCAGCCACATTTCTTTTGTGTAAATTGATTTAGGCATTCTATAATACAGGCATCAACTGAATACTGTCGACTATACTTCAACTGAGTCTCCTGGCATTCACCATACGGTACGTGTAAGTTGTTGATCTAGGAGAAAAACTATGATCATCAGTTGGAAAATAGATCGGTAGAGATAGCGGTGTACATATTGAAACCACTTTATTATATGATATGTGATGTCATTGCTGTAGCAGGAACTGTTTACCTTTGTAGAGAACCAGAGTTCAACCCCTGTTTTCGTTGGGTATCGTTTTGCCCTAACGTTAGTTTTCGGTTTTTGTGTTTTCTGGCAATTGTGTTATATGCCTTTCTTCGACGAATAGGTTTTGAAAGCCCTGCTGGATTTGTATATCAGTTTTTATACTGTTCTCATGTTTTTGTGAATCAGCACTTTGTTCAGCTGTCTTAGAATGTCCTTATAAGGATGTAATTTCAAAGTTAAACGTGATGAAAAATGGTAACGCTCTAAATTCTTACTTTTTAACAACGATAGAGATTTTCAATCTATAATTTTTTTTTTTTTTTTTGTGAGAACTATAAACAAAATGACTATCTCAGGTAATTATCATGACAATACTTGTTCAACTTACCATAATTAGTTTTAGTCCAACAAAAGCGTGAATACCTGTTGGTACTGACATCCCCAGCTCCTTTATACGTGGAATATCACTTTTATCATATGTCAGTAGTTTAATGCCCGCAGCATCATTTGGCCCAGGCATGTATTCATATTGTTCAACATTTAAGAACAGTTTTAAACCATGATCGGCGCCTTTAAATGTCAGGAAATGGTTAATCATAAATTGTAAGCTAAACAACTGATCATTTGCCTTATAGGAAATAAAAAAAATGTATATATGCATTAGAAATATAGGTGTATATGAACCGACTGCAAAAGAACCAAACACTACCTGTTTGAATCAATTCTATCATCATTTTCCCATAACAGCGTTTAATAACTCTAATCGCGAAGGGCGAAATTAAAGAAAAGACAATGACAAATTAACTTTTTTCAATTCTAGAGAAAACACATTTTAATGTTGAGTAAATAAGCGTTAGTTGAAATGAATTATACAAAATGATAACATAATTTTATACATAATTCAACAAGGCTAATTGCGTTTTTTCTTTGAGGATGTGCTAATTGATATTTGAGTTTGGAAAAAAAACTGATGTATTTAATACTTGAAATTTGGGTTTTGAATTAGAAAGCATCCTTAGGTCAATAGTTTTGTGTCTACTATCTTTTCATTAGTTTTTGTGTATATCTGATCTGATAAGACCAGCCCTTTCCTGAGATGGTCAATATAAATGTTACACATGTTGGAATTTCGAGAGAGTTGATAATCATGTCAAGAGTACGAACTTCAAGCACCAACTAAAGTTCCTGTACTAGGTAAACTGAAATGTGAATAGCAATAAAACAACAAAAAGTGATTAGGGAGAGATGCAGATATCAATGAACATACATTTTGGTGGTGTTACATCTTGCAAAGTCTATCCAATTTTTTTTTTTTTTGCAAAGAATTCCGCTCTGAGATGAAGAGCAGCAATAAAAGTGCTGTTCATTTGCTTTTTGTGTGTTTTTCTATTATACAAGATATTTATTCTATCTGTAGCACTATTAGTATATGTACATATTACCTGTAGAGCTAATGATAAACTCATCCGGACTGCTCTTTGGTTTAAACGTATAACAAAGTCCATGGTCTGTTAATATTGGTTCAAAATCTTCGTGCGTACATTTTCCTCCTGCCCATGAACATCTGAAAATGTTTTATACTCTTCATGTTTTTCTGTTATTTACTTAAGCCAGGATATGAGGGTTGATACCGGTACTGATGGACCACATTTCTGTGAGCGTAGCATCCGTCCAGTACCAAGAGTTTCGACACTGACATTATTTTAAGAAAGTATACCTCAATCTTAAGAAACCAATGACCATATAATTATGATCGATCCTGATGTTCACTGAGAATAAACTGTGATGCAGAGATGCAGTTTATTCAACGGACGTTTAAAATTTTAAATAAGGAAATTGTATGATATTTTTTTATTTCCCAGCCAAATCATACTTTCCCCGAACGAACGATTAATTGGGGTTTTTTTATATAACCAACGTGTACTTTGTAATATCTCAGTTCTTCATTGGTCAAAATCCAATTATCTTAACTCAATATTACGACGTCACGAAAAAAGCTTCGGTATTGGCATTACTGAATTATTTAAATGTTGGTACATTCCAGTTCGTATACTACACAGGAAAATTTCACTCATGTAAATTGAGATTCTAGTGAATTTCACCTCAAACGAGCTTATACGTGAAACTCACGTTAATTTCATATGAAAATCACATGAATTTTTTTCATGTGAAATTCATGTAAACTTTTAAAATAAAGTTATTCAAATAACATCTTAATTAAAATCATGAAAAATACCAATTTGTTTTGGTAAAGTGCACATGAAATTCACGTGAAAATGTTCAAGTGAGTTTCACGTATACGCTCGTTTGAGGGGAATTTCACGTGAAAATGTTCAAGTGAGTTTCACGTATACGCTCGTTTGAGGGGAGTTTCACGTGAGATTCATGTGAAATTCACGTGAGCAAAATTTGCCTGTGTAAAAGTATGATTGTAACTGCACAAAGTTCACCAAAGAGGATTTCAGTTGTTTTGTTCAGAACTTTTTTTGCTTATGATCCTACTCAAAACATATGATATATATCAATTGTAGAAGTCCAGGAACTGCTTCACCTCCATGAATACCTTAGATTACACCGGTTTTAATGTGAATCGTGTTTTTGAGTATTGTTTATTGGCACGTTGTTTTCTTTCGTCGTTTTTTTTTTTGTTTGGTTTTTAGGTTCTCTGTTTTCTCCGACTTATTCATTTGATTGCCCTATTGATACCTCCTGCTTTTTGTTCCAGAAAAATCTCACTGAAAGTTATTCAAACAGTTTTCATGTTCACTAAAAATCGGTAGCAAAGTATGCATTTTTTTTTATAAATACAAGAAATCTTCGGTAAGCAGGGGAAAAGAATAACAATCGTACCAAATACATGTACTGACTATCTGGTGGAATATAACTCAGTTAATATGTTGAATTTCAAGATTTGTTAATTTCTTATTCTGTGTCTGGGTTTTTTATGAAAATCATTGTTGTTCCTAATAATTATAGGAATTTGTTCAGCACTCGACAAGAAACAATAATTCATGCGCAGCGCCTGGAATCTTGATCTAAAGACAAAATTGATAACAAATAACATAGGCGAGATTGATAAAAGCAGCAGAAATCTTCCTTGCATATAGTCGCATACAAACATATGTACAGGAAAATGAAAATATTAACCGTGTGTTAAAGATTACAAAAATAGAGTATTACCTCTAAATTCATATACTTTTAATGACTTATAACGTTTTAATTGAATCTAGACAGACGTAATCAGACATTGTTAGTCATGTTAAAAATCAACATTGGAATTTATAGTCATTCGAATGAAACACTTAATAGAGCAATGAATGACACAGAAAACAAACAAAAGAAAAATACCAATTTTCTATTGCTCATCTACAATTATCTATAATTTTATTTTCATTTTAACATCAATTATCGTCTTTAGTGTATACTTATTATAATACATCAATACAGAAATATATTTTAAATGTTAATTTTGAAAAATTTCAACGTGGGTGTAACTTGGTTGGTTGAGAAATAAAGGTATCATTTTAGGTGGGTAGGCGAAATACTGCCCCAATGTTGGTCATCTGGTGCGAAAATGGTCAATTTAGACGATTTTTTGTTTAATTTCATGACCTAGCAGACTGAGTGGATGCTGATAGATGTATCCCACTGTAGTCTGCATGCAGAGTTAACACATTAACCATGAAAGTGATTAGCTCCGAGTGAAACTGATATGAGTAAGGTAGTCTAAAGAAGGTCATTTCCACCAAAAATCCGGAACTTTCCGATTTTTCCTTATGTTTTGCTTCACCAGGACAAGCAACCGGAAGTAGTCGTTTTAGCTAGCTATAAAACCAGGTTTAATCCACCATTTTCTGCATATGGAAATGTCTTTCAATTCGTTGATATGTTTGAGCTTATGATTTTGCCATTTGATAAGGGAATTTCCGTTTTGAATTTTCCTTAGAGTTCGTTTTTGTTTGTTTGTTATTTTACTTTTTCCTAAGCGTATTTCAAAGATAAACACGATCAGTACTTACATGCCGCGGGTTTACACTAATTTTGGAAATTTGAGGCCTCTATACTGCGTTTGCCAAACACCGAAGGGAATCCCACCCCGCAAGTCAAAACAGGTTTTATGTAACGACCATTTAACTTCAAGGGGGGGGGGGGGGGGGGGCGGGGGGTTATGGATTTTTCCTAAAAAAATATTCTGATCCCCAATTTGATGAAAAGAAATAAGAAATATTGTGGTCAAGCAGATTACAAAAAAAAATATATAATGCATCCAGATTTTCCCCATACCTTATAAAAGGCATAAAGCGGTATTTTGGTTTGAGGCCGTTATAATACCGCACGGAAAGGGTTACATTAAATCAACGATACGAACAGCCAGTTGATAGAAAGAAAAAAATCGTAAATCCTGGATTTATTTGTAATTTATAAACAAGTTGAAACTTCTGGTTAAGATTTTTTTTCAGAATTAATAAAAGCGTGGTCAACTCTTGAGGAATTGACCAGTTAAAATAAGTAAAACTTTTGCTTTAAAAAAAATCGTTTGAAACGTTTTTACAAAACTAAGTAAGAAATGTTTTGTAAAGCCATTGATACATGTTCATGTATGTCGGAGTTTCTGATCGTTTGAAATACCCCGATGTTAAAGTAGTCAAATCGACAGAAAAAGCGTGAGCTTCCGATCACTTGATTCAAAACTAATTCAAAGTGTAAAGAGGATTAGTGTTTGCGAGATTATAAACCAAAACCAGGAAAGTACTGCCACAGAGGGCGTTGAGCAATCGATTGACACCTAAATTAACTCAGGGCCACCTTAGCTTATAAGCAATACCAGTCTATTCACTTTTCAAACAACAAAATTGATGAATAAAATACTAGTAATTGAATCGCTACGCAAAGGTTTTTGTTGTTATGAAAATTTCCTGCATGGTTAAATTTTCCTCCATGGAGATAATTGATTCTGTTTGAATAGCTATGATAAAAAAAAACTAACCCAACAATCAAATCTTCTTTTGTATGACCCGCTTTCTGGAACAAGTCGCTAATTCTTAGTTTGGTGGCGTTAAACTGTAATAAATCTCTAGAATCAAATGTTTTTGAGGAGTCATTATACATGGTTTCTATCAATCTATACCAATTGTTCTCAGCTGCAGCTGTTGATCTGAAAATATATTAGATCATACTGTTGTTTTCTTAATACCATCTACACAGTTAACTTCAGAGAAGTAAATTAAGAACAAAGCATATAAATTCTTGTTGAAAATCTCATCATTTCATATCAAGAAAAAAGATCTAATGGAAAGAGATCTGAATGTATTGTACGTTGTATTGGTATTTCACATCATGTTAATGTATCATCAATTATCAACAAAGGTTAATTAACAAATGAATCTTTTTGCTTAACTAATGCAATTGATACATGTATGTAATTTCACTTACATCCCTCCAGGTTTTTAATGGTCTGGAGTTATATTCGTAAAGGCTCAAGTGTTTCCATTTAATCAGTTTCTCTAGTTATAACGCATAATATATAATTACTAGTATGTCACTGTTTAATGTTATGATTCCAAGATTGGCAATAGCGTGAAATATTGTGGTGTTAATACATTCAATTCATGAATATGCTATGATGCTCGTACCTGAACTTTATGATTTTCTCAAGGATAAGTGTAACTCAATTTTGGAGATGTTCGTTACTGTTATTTTTGAAAAGGGACTCTTTCGCTTGAGATTGTTTTGATTTTTTCAGTCTACTTTATTACTGAAAACTAGCTATCTATCAATTTCATGTCAAAAATTCTGCGGCAAATTAATGGACAATCATACACGAGAAGAAAGGCGGGCATATATGATATGGGGACACCATATCAAATATCATGCTTAACTTTTTAAAGCGAGAATATAAGTGTAAGGTAATAAAGGGAGACAACCTACCTGAACGCATTTTGGTTGCAAATTGTGACAGAAGGAAAAACCAGTGAACGATTATAGTTGACTTTGACGTTGACAGTAATCGGTGAATTATAATAATATATTATCCTGTCTATTATCTGGTATGACATAATACCACAACAGGAACATGTTAATACAAACCAAAATAATCTGCAAATTAAAAAAAAAACAGTAACGTTACAGTAATGTGGCATTTTGTTTAAGTACATTAGAAACATTATAGGATTGGTAGTCGTTATGGAAACAGAGCAAATGTCGTAAAACTAAAATTGGCTGACATCAGCAGTATACACAGAGTAGTAGCAGTACTAGAAAACTAGAGGTTTTAATCATGTCATTAAGTATATACTTACCGACACTTCATCAATTCTTATAGTTATCATTATATGTTCACTTTTGATATTAAATTATTCATATGTAAGAATAATAGAAATAGGTATATATAGTTGATTGATAAGAGATCCTGATGACGGTTATTCAAAAAGGAATATTTTTAAGATTCATGAACACTGTGCGTCTGAGTATCTGTCCGTTACAAAGTTTTTTCCAATGTAAAATGTCTGAGTGATTACAAGGAATAATAATATATTCATTGTTTGATTGCTGTTTTTTATTTAGCAGTGACAAATATTTCATCCATTTTTCTGAGATAGCGTAGGAATAGTAAAATTCCTGACATAACTACTACTGTATGGGCATATGACTATTTCGTTTTTGTTTTCTGAGCAATAGATATTAAGATATTAACAAAGGGTTTACCCGAAAACACTCTTTGCTGTGTACAATATACATCGTTAAAAAGATGTTAATGTGAATCTATAATGTCTGTGAACTACTTTTGAGTTAAGCCGTTGCTCTTGTCTACTTTTGTCCAGAAACGAAGTCTAAAATTATCATTTTAGGTCAAATGTGTCAAATTCTTCATTTATTTTTAACTTCATAGTGACATCACAAGTTACCTTTCTGCACTAAAATGTATATATGATATTATCCGTTGATTATCAATAAGATTAACATAATTTTGAGAGGCTATATAGAATGGTTTTGCCATTTTTGAAATTTCCGAGGCCAAATAATGGCTCCTATCATACTCCATCCTTGGGGTCATCCTTTAATTAGGATAGAGGGAGGATAGTGTTTTATGTCGCGCGAATTGGTTTGTAGTTGGTGATAATCTTTTATGTTTACAGAGCATCGGAAAGATCTTTATAATCCTTTATAACCTTTACTGTCAAATTGTCATTTCAAACCTCGAATGTTGTACTTCCCAAGTTACCAATCAAAACAACGAGTCGGATTTAGATTAATGAAATCGAACTTGAATCAAAACACTTTTTTCTTTTCTTTCTTCTGGATATCTTTGAATTTATGCTTTATGGTTAATCTGACTGACACGTTATTACCTCAGTAAAAGTTGAAATTTTATTTAGATTGATTTGGCTATTATTTTTGGTTCTTCTAGTAATAAAACTCCTTAGTGTTGACATATTCATCAACCATGGTTTTGATTTGTTTTGGTTTTGAGCGCTCCTGGTGAAGATTAATCCAGAAAAGTGGTTCGAACGCAAGACATATATAAAGTCTTATTTTCATTAATTCTAAAACAAACTACAGAATTTTTTTTAATAACTGCAAAGAACTTACCTTCGAAAAATAAAGGCATCCCTTAGAGAAATATATTTAAGACCATGAAGTGTAGTTTCCTGAGCAAACTGATAGCACTCGTCCCTCCAGCTCTGACGTTTCTTATCTGTCTTCTCACTAATATGGTTATCATATATGTCCATATTAGAATAGTTAATATTTCCAAAGTTTGACATTTCCTCGGGTATGTCTACTGTCATTGTGCCACTGACAATATGTATCTTTCCAGTGCATGGCGAATACTTAATGTGCACGATTTTACCGTACGATTTTTGTCAATAGATACAAAGCAGAAAAGTCGGCGGTTTCACACCAATTATCTGAATAATGACACCTTATTAAAATCAAGTTATTTTGAAATGTCAAATGTGAGTTTGAAAATTATGAAACAATATAATAGCTTATTTCATCTATTTATGTAAATCATATAGAATTGATAAAGCAATTGAAACTTTAAGATAATAATCTTCATCAGCTCATTATAACAAAGATTTTATGTTCTGTGAAATAACATCGGTCATTAAATCTTTAAAAGATATTTTCATCATGCAGTCTTTGATAATCATAAGACATTACTAATGGATAAAACAAATGTGTGAATATCATAACATAAATATAACAGGTGCTCGAAATAAATTCACTGATTTCTCCAGAGTGATTGAAATCACACAAATGAAAAAGTGCATAAGAAATAAAAATATATCGGTGAAAAGAAAAGGCCGTTTGGTGGAAGATATGAGGATGGTTGCATTTACTCTAAGTTTTTGGTTCATGAATCACACAATTATCTTTGGATAAGGTCAAACTTGTACAATACATTACATAATGACTTTGATTGTTATATTGAATCTGTTTTTGTATCCCCTTAGGCTACAACTATTATTAAGATTGGTTATTTTTCTGTAAGCTGACAAAGACAGAAAAACAATTCAAAGATCCAGATTTACGAGGTGCAAAAGTGCAGGATTCTATGTCAAATCCGACGATGAGCAGCTACACATACATTGACATTAGTCTTCTTAAAGTGCTCTGCAGTTTATCTTATCTAAACAATCATGACAATAGGGGGAAGATATCAAGGACCAAGAGGATGCTATTATCAATGAAAGACAAAAAAAGACCAGGACAAGAAGAAAAAAAAGACAAGCAAACAAACACCAGTCCATAAAACACTTTAGAGATCACGAATGATAAAGCAGCACCAGCGTAACCACTAACCAGGATTAAGATGCTCTGAAGCTAGGTGTAACAGGCTCTAGTCTACAAGTGACAACCGTAAAAAAACTCGGTGATGTCCTTAAAGATGAAACTCGGTGATGTCCTTTAAGATGAAACTCAGTGATGTCATTTAAGATGAAACTCAGTGATGTCCTTTAAGATGAAACTCAGTGATGTCCTTTAAGGTGAAATTCAGTGATGTCCTTTAAGATGAAATTCAGTGATGTCCTTTAAGATGAAACTCGGTGATGTCCTTTAAGATGAAACTCGGTGATGTCCTTTAAGATGAAACTCGGTGATGTCCTTTAAGATGAAACTCGGTGATGTCCTTTAAGATGAAACTCGGTGATGTCCTTTAAGATGAAACTCAGTGATGTCCTTTAAGATGAAACTCAGTGATGTCCTTTAAGAATCTTTGGTGGAATAGTTTTCTTATTAGCAGCAACCTCCATCAAGAAAATCCGTAGGATAAACTAAAAGCCCGGGACTATTATAAAAACTGGGAAATACATCCCCGTGATGCTTAATGAAAATATATAATTTCTAGGTTTATTAGATATTTTCTTTCATTATTTTCATAGTACCGTATTGGGAAGTTGCGTTGTTGTCTATATTATGTATATAATTCGTCTGAAATTTAGCCCAACAATGTTAGATCTTCAAATTTGCGTTAGCAAATTTTTGTTCTTCCCTAAGCGGGATTCGAACCCTTGCTTCTATGACATCGTGGCAACACCGCCTGCACCGTGCGCAGCGCCGTTGACCACTCGACCACCTAGGCTAGGGCGCTGGACACGGTGCCGGCTGTGTTGCCACGATGTCACAGAAGCAAGGGTTCGAACCCCGCTTAGGGAAGAACAAAAATTTGCTAACGCAAATTTGAAGAATAAAATATAGCTTTCGATGGTCGATGTAATGCCTTTCCTCGTCGGCTTTATCTAGGGTTGTAACACAGTACATGATGTATAGTGGCAAGTATATGGTGTACCTTTCAGATCAGCTATTTATATATATATATATATATGTTTGTATTACTTCATTTTGAGATTTTTCGAGATTTGAGATTTGAGATTTTTATTGACCATTCTATATTATTGGTAGTTTTCTAAATATGATGTTTACTTTTAAGTAACATGCTGTTCGTGATGTTTTGTTACCCAATTGCTTACAGTCGGGCATTATTTATATAGTGGTTTAAATGAAGTTTTAAAAGATAGATGCAATTTATTCAACAAAATGTTGCAAAACATATAAGTATAATGATGATGCGATATTTAAAGAAATGAAAAATATGTTAAATAGATTTAAAATTCACCAGCACGACGGTACAGAATGCCCTCATACTTAGTAAGCAGCTCATCAGTGATAGAGTTGTTACATATGTACGATTTTTGGATCAGTCAGACATCTTCTTACTTTCTGATATTTTGAGTTACGATTGGTGGTAGCGTGGCTGCGTACATCCCACACAGCCAAACGGACGCCCCATTTTGGCAAGGGTTTTACTGCCGGTCGGAAGAACACCTGTAGTGACCATATTTCTATTTCACAGACACCCTTAGGGTCTCTGTCCCTATCCATTTAATTATACCCTTAATTTCCAGTGGCAGTTTAACATTCCCTGACTTTCATCCCGGACGGCCTCCATTACAGGACCCAGTGGCGGATCCAGAGGGGGGCGTAGAGGGCGTACGCCCCCCCTTTGCTTGCACTTTTTTTTTTTTTTTTTTTTGTAAAATGATTAATCAGACTAGACTTCGTGAACTTTGCCATTTCCCGTGTATTTAATTTTTATGCGACAATTTTTTACTTATAAAGATATTTTTCGCTCGTATTTAGTGTAATATATTATTGATTATGTCAAAGTCATGTGATTCTCTACGGTGGAGCTGACCAGTTCGTCGAAAAAAACGTCACTCAGTCATTTTGAAATTCAAATCACAGTAACACATTGCTTAGGCTGAGGATGACAAGCACGACGCCTTCAAAGCGACAAAGTATTGAGCAAAAACGTATTGAATTCTATTTCACAATTCCACCCAACAGAAAGTAATACTCTATTACACTCTCATGAAAAAAAAGTTCCACAGCAATATTATTTACCTACGAAAACATGTTTAACCCCACACGCCCCAGCCCATTAATAACATTGCTGAATAGTGATCCCCAGTCAGTAAGCTATAGATATAGATTTAAAGTCTAAGGTACGGACCATTTGATCTGAGGGGGCAGTCTTAGATTTTTAAGAGAAAAAATTCTGACCCTGATTTTTGCCTTAAACAAAAATTCTGGCCGTATCTGGATTGAAAACAATAATCTTGTCCACTTTTTTGCTATTAGAAAAAAATGTTTTCAACAGAATTATTTAGCATTAAATGAACATGATGAATAAAAAACGGGCGTAATTTTTTTTGTTGGGGGGTTGCATGTGAATCCCATATCTGACCGGAATGTCTGTTTCGCCGAACTGATATACTGAATACTTTTTCAAGGCCCGACTGCATCCTGCCTGCTGGGTGTGGCCTATATGTCTCCATGTGTCGACCGTCATTCACAACTTCATTGTCATTTCCGACTAATTCGTAGCCTTTGGTTGATTTGGAACCCCTCACTTCCCTTGTTGGGTAAAACATTTCAACCAAACATTTGGATGAAAATTGCTTGTTTGTCTTTCTTCCTGTCGGTCGTATTGTAAATTTCATTGAATAGCTGTATATCTTGTTTACAACAAGAAATCTGTGAGGTTATGCTAACTAACCATACAACAAACGATAATTTTCCATGTCCATTTTTTACTGACAAATCCCACATCAAATATATTAATTAGTACATAGCTTTGGATCCATCCAATCATTTCATAATAGACAATTGGTGGAGAGAATACGGCACCAAAAATGTCCAACCCCTACACTTTAACTATAAAATGCATTTTACACTTATTTTATGTTTTTTAGCCAAAAAAAGGTCCAAAAATTTTTTCCTTTCCAAAATTCTGGATCCGCCCCTGGGACCTACCTATTGTATGTATTGTTGATATGTTTTCGTCCTGAAAGAGGGGTCAAAGATACCAGAGGGACATCCATACTCATAAATCGAAAATAAACTGACAACGCCATGGCTAAAAAAGAAAAAGACAAACAGACAAACAATAGTACACAAAACACAAAAAGAAAACTAAAGACTAAGCAACACAAACTCCACCATAAACTGGGGGTGATCTCAGGTGCTCCGGAAGGGTAAGCAGATCCTGCTCCACATGCTGAACATGCATGAAATATTTGCCACTGGACGATAAGCAACCAACAATCAATCAATCAGTCCTTATCATGACAATGCTTTCAGTCTTGTTATCATTATTTTATACGATTGATTATTTAACAGTTGATAGCTACAAGACGATATCTATTTTTGTTTCTTTAAAGTCAATTCCGTGGAAATTCACTTTATCTGGCTCTTTTCTTAGTTACATCACTTAGAATCGACAAATACAACGATTGACACGCGTTTGGAATACCACATAAAGATCAAATTATTATCATTTTGCAAAAATATCAGTGAAAAAGACTTATTACTTAAAACCTTTAATAAATTCTTCAATAGATATAAAGATTTGGTTTTGAAGTTTGGTTGTACCTGTAAAATACTTATTTCAAACGGGATAGCACATCCTCAATTTTACGGAGATGTTGTTTACCGAGCCCGGAAATTTAGAAACGATCCGGGTAAACTTATCGATCCTTTAAATAAAATTATTCTATAAGGTTACCAATTCAACACTGTCATGAGATCTTTGAATATTGTTTTATTGGTATTAATATTGATTTTGTTATCAGTAAATTAAAATCAAACTTAATATTATTTTTATATACATATGCACATTCAGGGCTCTACGATATGTCGATACCTGTATCTTGGCATTGCACAAGGTCATGTTTTTATCTGACTGCTTATGACGTCTTTAAACTAAATCCATTGGATGTTGGATGTATACTGAATGATATTTTAGTCTTAGATTTTATTAGTTGTTATTGGCTTTGAACTAGCTGTCAGTAATTGCGAGAACTCTCAGATCTGTATTTAGTGTATTTTTGTTGTGGGGATTTATAAGTACCCGTCTACGTTCACTGTGTTTTTGTTACATGTATGTCTATTTCTATCTATCTGATGAGTTAAGCCTTTTTCAAATGATTTTTATAGTTTGTTCTTATGTTGTATTGTAAAACCACTGTCCCAGGCTATGGGGGGGGGGGGGGGGGGGGGTTGGCGCTTACAAACGAGTTTAACACCGCCACATCATGTATGTGCCTGTCCCAAGTCAGGAGCCTGTAATTCAGTGGTTGTCGTTTGTTGCTGTGTAACATTTTTGTTTTCCGTTCATTATTTTGTACATAAATTAAGCAATTAGTTTTCTCGTTTGAATTATTTTACTATTGTCATTTCGGGCCCTTTTATAGCTGACTATGCAGTGTGGGCTTTGCTCATTGTTGAAGGCCGTATGGTAACCTATAGTTGTTTATTTCCGTGTCATTTGGTCTATTGTGGAGAGTTGTCTCATTGGCAATCATACCACATCTTCTTTTTATATTATGTCATTAAAAATTGCAACATTTTATCAATATTAAAAAAGGAGATGTGGTATGATTGCTAATGAGACGACTATCCATCAGAGTCCAAATAAAGTGGATGTTATCAATTATAGGCCACCACACGGCCTTCAACAATGAGAAAATCCCATACCGTATTGTCGGTTATAAAAGGCCCCGAGGTAAAATGTGAATCAATTCAAACGAGAAAACATACGGCCTTATTTATTTACGAAAATATAAGACATTGTTAATTAGTGCTTTCCAGAAAAAAAGAATATCTTGGGGTGGAAACGACAGGTAAAGTTAGATGTAAAACCAAGTACATGCAAAATAAAGAAACATCCACATTTTTATTTACCTGATGAACTTTATGAATCTATTTTATCATGTTTATAGGATGTTCAGCAAGGAGTGTTTTGTCTTTCCAGACAAAAATAATTTATATGTATCATTAAAAATATATGGTAATACATGTAGTCAAATTGGTACATGTAGGTAACAGTCTAGAATTTAATGAAACTAATGTTATTATGATTTATGAAAATCATTTTTATGACAATTTATGTCAGTTTATATACCGTAAAAGCAGACAAACTGACTGCAAACCTGGCAGGTCTCGTAAAAGCAGACTGCTTAATTCATTCAAAAGTGTGGTACCAGTAGGTTAAATTTCCAGGCAGTCTTGTAGAAGCAGATTGATTTCCTTAATCCTATAAACTGGGTAGGTAAACCCTTCATTCAGGTAATACACTTTTAGATATATTTCTATCTACAAGCTGAGGAATAATTTTCAAGTCATTCACACACATGAAGAAAAGGAAACCAAAGGAAGGATAACTTTCAAGATTACAATTTTAACTATGAATTTACGTGTCGCCAATAACACTGATTTTGAGAACCGCCACTTGAAGACGGCAACTCTTCAACTGCAGTTCTGCTATTCCTTAAGTTTAATCAAAGTTGAACATTACAAATATATTAACATGACCGTCCTTACAAAAATGATCCGATAAATTTCATGTTGGACAGCTGTTTTAGTTATAAAGACACAAGAATATGTTTTACACTTTATTTCTCAAAACATTATGCAACAAAACAACCTTTATCTCCCGATAGTAGGATATACAAAAATTGGCTGAAAAATTAAGAAGTCCAAACATAAAAAAAATAGGCAACACTTCCTCACTCCTACAATGTAATTTCCAGGCCAAACAGATGAGAATCGAGAAAGAAAACGACAGGTGAGTGATAGGTTCATTTATATAACAAGAGGCTATACACCATCTCGTGCCTATGATAGAATATGGAAAAAAGTACGCACCTTATCCTTGTCCTCAATGGTAAATATAGTACAATCGTAGACTTCTAATACAATATTTCAATGGCACAAAAAAAGTCGTGACCTGGAAACGAAAGACAGAAAACTGTAAAAAGTGAAAAATCCTAAATACTGCAACAATATTATCGAACTGTAAATGGCTCTTGGAACGTTTCACTATAGAATAAAGAAAAATGAATAATGGACGTACTTCAGCGCGGTAGAATAAAACGTTTCAAAACTTTCTTTAATTTCTTTTATGGTAAACAAAAACAAATCAGAAATTTCAAATGTCTCACTAAGAAGGAACAAATCATGTTTAAAAGACAACAATTTATAACTTAGTTTTTGGGATTTGACTACTTGACAACATACAAGTCGACTAGCATTGAATGTTTAATGTATGGTAGTTTCGAGTGCAAGCAACTTTATGAACAAAATTTCCTAACACTATCAAAATACTTTTAAAAAAATCAGCTTTCTATATTTACTGACATCAAAAGAAAATATATTATCATGAATAAAATATATTTTGTAAATAGCAGATGATTAAATGTCTCGATTTGTATATGTATTCAAACATAGCTTCCGGGGGTAATACGTTTGAAACATATTTTCCGTTTATTGTATCCGTCGAAATCTAAAACGGAAAAAATAATCACACAAACGAATTTTGTTTAACGTACATGTATGAGTAAAGTTTCTTTGCTCTTATCTTATGTTTTAAGACGTCTAAGAAGTCAGCCCTATTATCTAGGTAAGCTTAATCATACATCTTTCTCACATACGACGAATAATCCAACTAAATTATCATAAATTTTGTGAAATCAATGTGTTTAAACTTCAAGGACTTTTGATAATATGATGCAGGTTTTCTACCTGATGATCTCTCCAATGTTATAATTTGGTGCATGTTTGTTTTATTTATCATTAATCTTTTCGGTTATCAGATAAACATATTGGCGGGAAATCGCATGCTTCTTTTTTGTCCAATAGTAAGCTATGTTAACAGACAAAATAATGTTATAGCTAATGGTGTCAGACAAACCAGATGATGTTTTCACTCATGTCATGACACTTGCCTGAATTTGTCTTCTAAATCGATTTGATCATCGGTAAACTACTGTTGCCTATATTTGTTATACTTACACTGACCTTTTGGGGAATATTTACTCTTAGAATAAAAAATGACGATATAAATAGATCATTATCCTGACAAAGGGAACGTATCTACGGTATGGGTTTTTATCATTGTTGAAGGCCGTACTGTTGCCTATAATTACTTTTATCATATACTTATAGTAAATAACTTGTAATTTTTACAGTATGATAACAGCATTAAATTTACGTGAATTCCATATTTTCCGAATTCCTGTTTAGCGGGCTGACATGAAAAATTTATCACATGCTTCAGCTATTATCACATGCCTTTTCGTAACGTTATCGCATGGCATTCTGGTGTTACTCGGCAAATTCCGGAAAATACACCTCAATGGTACGGTTTCAGTGAAAAACATAACAAAGTATGATACAAAACAATTATTAGGAAACAGGAAAATATATTATGTAAAAAGCCAAAAAACAAATGATACAATAAATGCATTTTCAAAGTTTCCATCATAATTTAGAAAGTTTCTTTACAAAATTGTTGTTGACCTTTCCAAACAGTGTTCATTATGTTTTGTTGATTTTTTTTATCATCAATATAAAAATATATTATACTGTTGTTTTTCTCCTAAATTGAGGCATATGATAGAAAGATTTCATATCGGATGTATTACATTTATCGTCCGTCGTCCGTAAACCTTTCACTTTTTGAACTTCTACTTGAGAACCACTTAACAGGATCAATATATTAAATTATCCACTTCATTTAAACTCTGGTGGATAGTTGTCTCATTGGCAATCATACTACATCTCATTATTGTAACAAAGTATAATTAACTTTGAATGAAAAGTGTATGTTTAATATGGATGAACTCTAGCATCGCTAACCAGCTTATCTCTCCCTCTAATTGTCGTATAACGAATTCAGATATTTTCTTTAAAGAAGCTGCACTTGGTGTCCACACTTTAATCCTTATGTTTGGTCACTGGATAACTTGGTCAAAGTATCAAATTTAACAATTTATAGCCTGTGGGTAAATAAAAACATAGCTTGTCGAATAATTCAACTTTTTACATACAGTAAAGTTACACAAAATGAACATATGAAGTACATTTCATGTCAACACAAAAGTGCTGCTTACAGGTCCGGTTATACCCTCGGAAACCAAACGCCCACCAGTAGTGTCATCTCTCCATTGGTTGTAAAATCTCATCATAGATACCAGGCTTATAGTTTGGTACGTCGGACGTGCGTTTCGTCTTTATAAGACTAATTAGTGGCGCTCGAGTCAAACCAATTAGAAGGCCAAATTAAGTACGTACATTTTGTAGTTAAAGAGCATTAAAACCCCGAAAATTCCAAAAATGTTGTGCCAAATAACGCTAAGGCAGTCTAAATCTAGGGATGGAAAAACCTCAATGTTTCGATAATTCATCATTTAATAAGCTCAGTTTTTGATTTTCTATGTTGTTTTGTGTACTATTGTTTGTCTGTTTGTCTTTTTCTTTTTTAGCCATGGCATTGTCAGTTTATTTTCTACTTATGAATTTGAATGTCTCTTTGGTATCCTTCGCCTCTCTTTTACAAAAAAAAAAATTGACATATCAATGAATTATTTCTTGTCAACATAAATCTTCTGACTATTACTGGGCTGGTGGTATCCTCGGTGACAAAACGTTCACCAGCAGTGGTATCGACCCAGTGGTTGTAAAACTCAACATAGGACAATTCAGACCAATCTTAAGACAACTCGTACCACTTTGGAAGACAACTCGGACCACTTTTAAAGACAACTCGGGCTCATCTGTCTAATTGATAAAGAAAACGGAAAAAATTAAGAAAGTTTTTTCTTTTAATTCTCACATTATCTTTATTTCTAAAAAAATATGAAACAAAATTATCGTTTAAAAAAATAGTTTGACTTGCATTAAATCTAAAATTAGATTCACAGACATCCGTGTACTTAAAAGGTAGCCTAAGTGTTTTTCAAAAGAGTATTAAAACGAAACGTTTGAGAGTCTATACTTTGCAATGTTCGATTTAATTTCAAATGTATATGTATAAAACAACTTCAGTCAAATCTAGACAAAAACAATTATAAATCAGATTGAACGTTAACGCCACTGGTTTCACAAGTGTTTCAAGCTGGTCCGAGTCGTCTTTAAATTGGTCCGAGTTGACTTGGTTCGATTTGTCTTTAGTCCGAGTTGTCCTGATTTCATCATAAATACCAGGCTTATAAAATGGTACGTAGACGTGCGTTTCGTCTACACAAGACTCATCAGTGGCGCTTGAATAAAAATACAATATTATGCATTCCTATGACGCACATACACTGTATTAACCGAGATGTCGGACTTTTTAAGTGTGTCAGACTATTAGTGAGTCGAAAAAATGGAATGTCGGAATACCGGGGCTGTCCTAATTTTCATACTAGTGACCAGAATCAAACAAGAAGAGACAACTTTTAATACATATAATTCGTCCCTCCGAAAAAAATACTTTCTCTCTTAAGTAGCCTTTTAACTGTAGGTTGGACGAATTCTTAACATAAATTGTCAAATTACAAAGATAAAACTACACCTGTCATTTAATGTACAACTACCACACGTATTGCTTCCAAGATCTCAACAAAAAGAGGTTATTAAAGACCTTTACCCTCAGGAATATAAATTTGTAACCTCTCGATTGCTCTTGTACATCGCCCCATACAAATAAAGCCCCTCTGGGCATGTTATAACTGGAGACCTTGAACTAAGAAAGTTGCTAGCCAAAGTCCCAGAATATCAAATTATCTAGCCCATCCACTGCAAGGAAAAATTAAGGTTACTGATGGATGCAGTTGAGGTATTTGCCTGAAAATCGGTAAAGCGCGAGCCAGATGAACCAAAACTGGACACTTTATCTGAATGGACCAAAGCTGTTTGGTAATGCATTCAGAATCGCATTCAAAACCTGCAAAGTACAACGAGCTACAGCTTTTTTCCATTTAAAGAAGCCTGAGATTGTGTATGCTTTGTTTCCTTTTCACGACTAAAATGGTGTTCCAGCAGACAAAGCATCAAACCATATTGTTTGTTATGAGATTTTAGAAAATCACAATCACATCTTTGGTGTTAGCACAAAAAGGTCAAAAATCGTTCATTTTTAAACTAGATACATAAACTATACAAAATAGATATAAGAAGATGTGGTATGAGTGCCAATGAGACAACTCTCCATCCAAGTCAAAATTTATAAAAGTAAACCATTATAGGTCAAAGTACGGTCTTCAACACGGAACATTGGCTCACACCAAACAGCAAGCTATAAAGGGCCCCAAAAATTACTAGTGTAAATCCATTCAAACGGGAAAACCAACGGTCTAATCTATATAAAAAACGAGAAACGAGAAACACTTATGAACCACATCAACAAACGACAACTACTGAACATCAGATTCCTGACTTAGGACAGGTGCAAACAATTGCAGCGGGTTTAAACGTTTTAATGGTACCAAACCTTCACCCTTTTTCTGAAACAATAGTGTAACATCACAACATAGAAAGATACACTATAATTTTTTAAATTTTAGTTCATTTATATGTTTTGGAGTTTAGTATGACGTCCATTTTCACTGAACTAGTACACATTTTTGTTTAGGGGCCAGCTGAAGCCCGCCTCCGGGTGCGGGATTTTCTCGCTGTGTTGAAGACCCATTGGTAGCCTTCGGCTGTTTTCTGCTCTATGGTGAGGTTGTTGTCTCTTTGACACATTCCCCATTTCCATTCTCAATTTTAATTCATTCTTTTTACAGTTTTGCCAAATTATCTATCTAGCATAAGTAACAAACTTAATTTTGTATTCAGACATTGTAAAAATAGCCAATACATATAATTTTAATGAAAATGAAAAGTATCATATACATTCATATATCTCTGGTCGAATTGATTGGACGAAAAAACTCATTAAATATACATATCCCGCAAACATGTTTAACTCCGCCACATGATGTAGGAGCCTGCAATTCAGTGGTTGTCGTTTGTTGCTGTATATTATATTTGTTTTTCGTTCATTGTTTTGTACATGAATAAGGCCGTTAGTTTTTGTCGTTTGAATTATTTTACAATTGTCATTTCGGGGCCTTTTGTAGCTGACTATGCGGTATGGGTTTTGTTCATTGCTGAAGGTCATACGGTGACCTATAGTTGTTAACTTCTATGTCATTTGGTCTCTGGTGGAGTGTTGTCTCATTGGCAATTATACCACATCTTCTAATTTTTTTTATATACGTCTGTTAAGTTTTTAAAGCATTGTCTAGGAATGTATATAGAGAAAATTACGAATCTTTGCAGTGAAGAACTTTGACATTGAAAAGTCATTGAGCTTCCTGTTTGTGTCCATGATATTATTACTAGAAGATTTTTTAATTTCTTCTACAACTAACATTAAAGAAAACAATTGATGCAATGAACTGTCTGAAATATATTTTGACATTTTGCTGCATAGTTAGATCAGCAATTTCCCTATTCATATACTTTTCAGTCATCATGCAAAGCGAAAGATGAATGCTTAAAATTGTATCCGTAAAAAGAATCATACTACTATTTACAATTGTTTTTCATTTTGAAGAATTCGTCTTATAAAAGCAACATACGATTATACTGCAA